CATCTATTGTGCGGCAGCCTATACAAGCCTGTTTGTCGATTCGGTTGCCCTCTCGTAGGCGCAGAAAAACTAATTGCAACTGTAATTTTATCAATTACACTTCTTTGCTGTTATTCTTCAATTTTATCAAACGATCTCTTTTCAATCTTTAGCTAATCTTTAAACAATACCGACTTTCCAGCAAAACGGTCAGTGATTTCTGCGACGATATTACATAAGAAATTCACTATATGGAAGCTGCATTATGAATTTTATCTCTTGTTCTTTTCCGTGGACTCCTTTTTAGTAGGATAACACGTTCCTGTTATTTGCACAGTTTTTCCCCAAGTTCATTCGTGCGTTTCTCGCGGCTTTTGTTCTTACTCATTTCTGTTCTCCAACTTTTTAACACATTATGACATGTTTATTATCGTTTGGAGAAAATCCACAAACCATGTGGTTGGAATATCGAATAGGACGTACCCGTTCTAACCTGACAGTTGAAAATGTTGTGTTCTTGTGCATAAAAATCCATTGGTTAAATGTTTTGCATTAATTATTTTGCACAATTGCACAATTCTTTTCCTTAACGGGGCATTTAGCAACGACTGTTTCTCTTGCAACGGCGTTTCCTTTTTCTCTTTACTTTTATTGGTATCGGTTCTGGTAGATATTGATTTCCTTTAGGAATTTTATTGGTTTTTCTATGTACTCTGTTAAGGCTGCGGATAAATTCATTTACAAGTTTTTCATACGTCTCGTTAATTCTTTTCGTTCAAGACGATCGAAGAAATGATAAATATTAGAATTCTATATTTACCGTTGAGTGAAAACTGGGCGTGTAAACACAGAATCAATATAATATATTTATTGTAAAGAAAGAAAATACAAGAGGAATAATTGGTATGGAAAATAAAAGAAGCTGGTATGGCACAACTGGTCTGTACGGAAGTTGTAACCGAACTGAAACAAACATGCTGCAACGATTCCAGTCTGTAAAACAGAATTACATTGGAACACAGTTTTCAATATTTACAATTAACAGAATAAATATAATAAATACGTAAATCTATTTCTATCTTTTAATTTCTTAGAATTTTTTCTTCTAAATATTTGCGAACACATGTAATATATGGTACGTTACGGTTCTTTTGCTTACATACCGTAAACGCCTAAAGAAGCATTTAATTTGATTGGATGTTTTCAATTACATCGAGAACGGCTCGAAAGCGTTTTACGTTTACAATTAATTACATGTACTCGACGCTAAAGCCGCGCGAACTCCAAGGACCAATAAACGACATCCGATACACAAACAGTTGACAAGTGCAAACAGAAGATAGATCTCGTTAACTGTTAGCCACGTCCGCGCACGTTTTAATCCCTTGGTGCTTACGCTTACAATTAGCTGCAGCGAGTAGTACTGTCTCTTTTCTTAAATATACTACACTCTGTTTTGTCGCAACTGCAATAAAATTGCAATAAAACAAGTTGTTGGAAATATAATTTAAATTAATGTGAAAATTAATTTACACACCTAGTCAAATTAAAGTCGTGTATGTATAATTAAAAATTCTGATTTGCTCGTCCTTTGCCAAACCTTTATCCTTTATTAAAAACACAGTACTTACATTCGTATCCTATATGTATACATGTATGCATGTTCAAGTATTGGTTTCTCACGTGTTCAACTATTACTATTTCTCGAAATATATTGTTCAAGTACTACGGCTAGTCCCGCATATTTTTCAAAGCTTGTAGAAAATCATAAATCCACTTGATTTATTAAAATGTTTGTTTGTAATCGATTTAGAATTGCGCTATTTTTTAAATCGAGTTCATATTAATTAGTCCAAGTCGGACATGATGTAGTTTTAATTCTGTTCAAGTACCAATTGTTGTACCTTACACTATGTTGATGTTTCGACAACATGAATCATCTGAAGAAACTAGTGTGTCTAAAACTCCGTTTTAATACTGTACGTGAGTCGAGCATATCGTCAAGTAGGTATACATATACATACATGTACAAGGACGGGGATGGAAAGTTGTTAAGAAGAATTGATGTAGCGAATAAAGGGGGAAAATGAAAAAGGTCGGTGAGGTGTTGGTCTGTCAATGAACTCTACTGCGACTTACCCTCGAAACCTAACCTGACTCCGCCCAGTGTGCCACACCGAACCAGCTTCGCTTCTTCTGACGCGTTCCTTGTTCGCGGACACTCCGACAACTTCGATATATTCACAAACCCGAAAGGTCCAAGTACTCGGTTGCGTTTTTCACGAGGACCGCGAAAATCCAACAAAAACCGCGACTTCGTCCCATCGTGGGACGAGAACTGACTTCGATGCGAGCTACGCGGACTAGCGCGCAGTGCTGTGTTCGCTGGGAGCATAATCCACCAGGGAGAGAGAGAGAGAGAGAGAGAGAGCTGCTCGAGTACTCGTAGATTCGAGGAACCAGGCTCGGCGCTACATTTATCAACGCCCGGAGACCATGCACGTTGGTTCGCATACCCAACAAGACGGTAAAAAGTCGAGAAAGTTCTCGATTTGGCTAAAAAATTACTAATCTGATACGCGTAGTTATATTTGATCATTTTAATGTTGGTTTCGATAGGTATGCCTTTCCTTTTCACTTTTTTCTTTAACCCTTTCTTCAGGAAGGATTCGTTTTTGTTATTATCAAATTCTTGTCTGTTATTGACAGTAATTATAATTCTGGGTTTAATGCCAGTTTTAACAAACGAACAGTAGCAAAGGATGACTAGATAAACATGTACACATAAATCTATTTTTAACAGATTATATCTTACATATTTTCAGTTTGGAGAAAAATATGTGAAACAAAGATAATAAGTAGCTATTTTTTCCCGGTTGTTGCATTTCGATATCTTGAGTGGTAGTCTAGAAAAAAAATTAATAAATTTAAGGACGTTCAGGCCTATATAATTAACCAGGGGGTAGCGATCTGAAACTGTACAGAATAATGTTCGAGACGAGGAACATTGTTTACCGAGCAATAACACCAAGTATTGGCCTGGGGGCCATTTGTCCATGCTTACCTTGCGAGACTCTTTTAGAGGGAGCGTTGGTCCAGATGGAACCAACGATCGAGTGGTTCCATTCCAAGTGTAGCTTTTCATGTATCCTTCGGAAATTCGGAATTTACGGCACTTGGACTATCGAGGTCGAAACGGCAATTGAAGATTCTAAAACCATTGAACGCAAAACAACTTGAAATACCTTTGAAAATAATTTATCCTCGCCCCCATGCCATAAACGTATCAACAAACTTTCTACGTTTTATGTCCCTTGTGACGGAACAGTAACGAGTTTTCTATTAATATCTTCAAAGTTGTTCTTATGCGAAACAAACAAAATTGTGATTTTCAACTGTCGCGTAACTATAGCACCGATATACATAAGCGAGTCTCGTTAGTTTTAGTGTTGCGATGCGTGTGCAACAACTCTTTCATTCTCTTTTTTGACCGTAGACAACAAGCAGCTACAGCGCACTCTGTACCAAGTAAATCGAACTTATAATACGAATCGGTCCACACATTTTTACAATTTATATGAACGCTAATAAATGTAAGCAGACCTAACCAAGTTACAATATTTAGATATACCTTTTCATAAAATGCATATCGTTCATTAAGAAACGTTACAAGTTTAAGTTTAGAGGACATTCCTTACCGTCTGAGAAAATCGATTGTAACAGCAGTCTGTTTCTCGGTGGAAAATAAGTGAAACATAGGAAAACCAAAGATAGCATTTACGACACCTTATCTCATGCAATAATTAAAAACAAATTGTTGTGTTACTAATAAAACGAATGAAACATTTGGGATAACCAAATATATTACAATATCCGTTCGTTGAATATAAAGAGGAAAATTTCTGCCATTATTGGGCAATGTTCTTAGCTTGTAAAACATATCTATAGATAAGGAGGAAAAGATAAACTCTGTTTCCAATATTCATGGAAGAGATTAGAAAATCGATAAAATATAATGGTCGCGGTATTAATCGTCGTTCCATCGATTCACAGATGAATCATCCTTACCGCAACCATAACATTGGACAACTTCATTCCTCGAATCGTACAAGATGTAATTTTTGTTTTATTTCACTTTAGCCAGTTACTTCATATAGTATAGCTTACAAGTACAAAGTCATAATTAAATTGTCAATTCGTCGTATTTTATTTATTTCTTTGAAATTTATAAATTTATGGTATAATCGTTATATTTCTTTTTGGAAAAAGTACATTTTGCCAACTACACGTGATATTTCGTGCACAATATAAATTAATGCCAGTCGACAACGTAATAAATAAAAAGGAAATTCTGGAGGAATACATCTTAGCTCCCAAGCGAATGAGCCAGCCCTGGAGTTGGCGCATGCGGCCCGAACATGTTTTTTCGCGCACATAGAATTCTCTTTCGTTCGCCGACGAATCAACTTTGAAAACCCTGAATTCCGTATTCATGGCAGCTTGACGAGCATCATTGTCTTGTCCGAAACTATGACGATTTCATTTTTTAGGTCATTGCTTTACCTAGAGAAACGTGTCCACTTTGGCTCCAAAATAGAAAATCAATAACAACTTCAGAGTCCACGGGAAAATTCAGTTACGCGCTGAAAATTCCTATCACCGTGTTTTCAATAGATGCATGATTTTATTCGTAATTTTTGCGAATTTTCGTTGAAGGAAACAAGTATTCGACAATGTTTAACGAGCCACACTAGAATACAGGCCGGAATAACGTGACGTTATTTGGCATTTTTTTGGACGAATTACTATGTTACGGAGCATTTCAAAACATGTAAAGAAAATGTAAAGAAATTCTTCGATTTAAATAAAACATATCGTAAAATGTGTAAAAACTGATTTTTGAAAAATGCCTAACTAGAATACTTTATTCGTTACAATTGTATCTCTTCGCTATGAAATATTTCTTTCAACGAATCAAAGTTTCATTAAAATTCAATGCACAACGAGTCGATTATTTTACCGCTAACAAAATTCGTATCCAGGTAAGCATGCTGTTAATCTTTGAGTAGATTCACCAGTATTCATACGAAGCGTCAAGCCTCTAGAGAAGTTTCTGCGTTACATCCGGAATGCGTTCGTAATTCAGAGAATCCCATTGAAACGCAAGCATCTACTATTGTTCTCTCTCACGGTGATGTTTCCGCAGTTTCAGAAGATCCGCAATTGGCGAACTTGGCGTCTTTCACAATCGACGTCCCCCACCCCCCACCCTCCTCCGTTTCCAGGGATCAAAGGACCATCGGTGGTAACTACTTCAACTACCGTTGTTGAGCCTGTCCTAGATCTCCCATACAACTGGATCGAACAGTTTGCCATTGTTTAAGATTATTATGATAAGCTCCACAATAAGAGAGATTCACGGCGAATCGTAACTAGACCGCGGTTATTTACGCATTTATGACAAGCATAAATACATGAAAATATACAATAATGTATACGAAGATGTACTTTAATTTCAGTTTCTGTTTTTCTGTTAATGCACATACTGTCTACACGGAGACATACCGTCTAAGTAGGTTTGGAGTAGTTTTTGATAGTTTTTGACAAACCCCTTGACCCCTTTGTTTCTACAAATAAGGAAGTGTCCACAGATTTAGTTCTAAGCGGGAGTGTACACACTGCACGTCAAAAACAAGTACATGTATACTGTCTTCCATGAATTCGAAATGTCTCTGAAACGAACAAGCATGTGTCGATAGCTGAAGAGGGCATCTGTTGCATTTCGCATCGTCCGAAGGACATAGAGTCCGGCTTCTTCCATGGTCGCAACAATTTGTTCCATTTTGTTGACACCATCGCCGGTATCGGTCTCAATTTTTCTCAACGGCCGCGAACGCGAAGACGAACGGATTTTCCTGTTCGAAGGGTTAATCCGGTATCGGGGATTACGTGTCCTCGGTCGAGGGTGTCCGGGCGTGGGATTCACGTCGAGCCCTGCGCATAGAACGCGTGGCTGGAAGTCGCGAGGGAACGCGGAACCGTTACGGTAATCGCAGCCTCAGTCTCCGCGCGACACTTACCCGGGACGAGTCGCGTTCCTTGCTCGTCTGCAAGCGCGTTCCACGTTCGGAACCGTGAAAAACCGAGGGGGAATCATCGTTAAAAGATTAATCATGTCTTTCGTCCAGCCAGACGGACAACAATGGATGGATTCCCTCGACTCTCTTTGAGATTTCAGGACTCGACCGATCGCTGAAAGTTTGGCAGTAGGAGAGCTGTGATATATCTGAAAGTATCTGTTAAATAATTGATACATGCCTGACGATTGTAATTGACTTCCTCGGATGAAACGTTGGCTCCGAGTCGCGAGGAGAACGAGAGAGGAACCTGATACCTTTGTCAGATCTTGGACGATTCATTTCTTCGAGTTCGAAGAAAGCTAAACTAATTGTCACTTGGTTTATTCGAAGAATTCCATTCGTTCATTGGGAACGAGTTTGTCTATGACGCATAGCTTCGATGGAAAGACAGCGATGGTTGCTTCGCGACGACAATTTGCCTTAATGCGCCGACTAGTAGAAGCAAACTTTTCCTAACTGAACGTGTCTCGATCGGTTAAATCGGTTAAGTCAGGTAAATCGTGGCAAGAGACGGGGATCGCGACTCGTGAACAAGTGCGCCGAATGGAAGACTGAGTTCGTCGGTCGTTTAGGCCTAATTGCGAGGCTGCCGCACTAGTCGTGCAATTGGACACTTTGTTCCAAGTGGGGTCGAGGCGGTGAAAGACTCCCGGTGAACGATTCATTCTCGGTCTGTGACGTACGACTCTACTTTAATTTTCGTGCACGCGTAACGTTTCCACTCTGTTAGTCAAAGGAAGGGAATTTCGTTAGGGACCGCAAAGTCGAAGGAAAGTTTCGACGCCCTCCCTGGAACTCATTTTTCACTCGTTTCTAACGATTTACCTCGTGGAAGGTTTTTCAAATATCGAGCATCGAACTCTTTAATCGTGATATAGCATGTTAATTCGATCGCCCAAGGGACTTATTTGAATTTTTGCTATCGCAAAGGTGGCTCGCGAACGAGTCCATTAAAGCGATCTAAGACAGGCCGACAAAAGGCAGACTTCGATAAAGACTGATAGTGCGGTTAAACGCGACTAGGGGCGGGTGGGGGGTGGGGGGTGGAATAGAAAAGCGGTTTCGAGGGAATCGACTGTTTGAGCGATCAGCGATGCTGTTGAAAGCGAGTGCGAGTGGTCACGTGGATCCTGTTAGAAAATTGATCAACTATTATATTCGCGCCTCTGGTGGAAAAGTCACCACGACGCCGACGAGGGCTTGAAGAAGCTGCAAACTGACGAGAATGAGATTCGTGTCAAGATCAAGTGTAAAGCGAGGTAAGAATGCTCGAGTTTTATCGTTGATTAGCATGACAAATCGTTAACAATCCGCGTGGCCGCGCCGAAGAACCGCCAAGGGAATTTAGATGAACGTTTAGTTTTTTATAATTGAAGGATGTGCTTCGGTAAGAAGACAGCTCGATTTTTTCAAATTTCTGGGAAATTGAAAAGAAACGTTTTAAAATTCAGATTTTTCACAATTTCAAATTGACAATTACAGTAATTGTAGGAGAATAACAATAAGCAAAATTTGATACCTACTAAGATTCGTATAGAATTTACGTAGGCACACTTGAAAATTTCAACTGTTTATATCTCGACAACGAAGCCGCAGTTCGCAAATTGGTAAACAACTTTTCGATTCGAACTTCAAAAAAAAAAAATCGATTTTTTTATCGTAATCAGTCCTTCACATTTGGCATTAAAAAATTGTCCAAAATGCGAGATTTTCCAAATATGTTAAAAAAAAAAAAAGAAATTTCGATTAAACAGAATTTGTTGCGCCACAATGCGTTGAGTAGATATTTTTAATATTACAATTAAAGTTTCATTTGGACCTTGTTCTAGTTATTTTTGAAGGTCCAAACTATGTGATTCGGGTTAATTGCAAAATGACTGTTCAATTTATGTAAATGGTCGTGATGCGATTCTTGAATTAAAAACAATATAAGTTGGTTGAAATTAGCTTGTATCGGAAACGATACGGTGGGCACGAATCTCGCGTTGCAATAATAAATGGATATCAATTCTATTCGAAACCTACAATCTGATACTATTCGACGCTAAATTACAATTTTCAAGCTGGCATCAGCAGTATTGATTTCTGTCATTTCCATTACTATCGAATACTACTTTAATTTTCCCTCGATTCCAGTGAATTCGTAGATCTGTGCTAACATCGGCCAACTCGAAATGCAGCAACCTGGAACGATTTAACTTTCCCACACGATTTCAAGCAGCTTGACAACCACCGGTGCTTTCCAAATTGTGAACCGCGTACCCCACAAGTTCCACGAACGCAAGCAACTAGGAACGTACGAACTCGTAGAAGAAAAAAATGTGACACGTTGTAGAATTCGTGGCAGGAATCAGGAATACGAGATTCCCCTTTTATTTTGAAATCGAGAAACTCTTGCGTTGATTTCACAAGCAATACATGTCTTATATTTAATTCAGCATTTTCTTCATTTTCCATTATCTTGACAATCTTTTCATCGTACATATAATATGAAGCTTAATTACAAGTGAAAATAATTATCACCTTTCGGAAATAAACAAGGAGTTGGTTGTGATCAAGTATCGATATACATTTAAAAAGCAGTCGCTTAATTTCATTCCAAGAAAGAGAAGCAAAGGTTTCCCTCTGCGATAGTATTCGCGGAAAGGAGAAGTTTGAGAAACACCGTTCTAAATTATTTAGCAGAGGCGCTCCGCTTCATTTTTCCCTGAGAACGTATTGCCGCTATTTATTTTCATCGTTGCACGTACGCTGTTAGGACTTGTAGTTCCGAATTCCAATTCGAAGGAACAAGAAGATGCAGGGCGTGGGATCGCTCCAGCAACAACCACGAAAAAAACAACTGATTGCAAGAAATCTTACGAGGAGTAATCACTGCGGATGTAATGCGGCATCCTCTTTCCTTTCATTTTACACACTCTCTGTAGGAAAGGTTGCAAACCAACGACGGAGGAATAGGTTCGGCAGTTTCGCTTCAAGTTGAAATGAAAATCAACCAGCCGTTCTCTAAGACTGGCAAATTGGTTACACGCATCGGTCACGATAGCAGCGGCTAAACGTGTGTCGTCGCGTTTTATAATTGAAAACTGATGGGTCGGGCACATCCGATAACGCGGATTTCGCAGCGAGTGTAACGAATATTCGTAGCGTGATTAATTTGATCAAACTCGTTTACTTTAATTCGAGTCCTGAATTCAACAGTTTATACAGGGAGTTTTACTTTGTATTGTATCTGATTGTATCTTAATGCCTAATAGTAAGTGCGGTTACGTCAGGCACAAGGAACGAGACCGAAATCGATGACAGAAAACGAGACCAGCTGCGAGCACCCTGGTCCCATGTGCTTGTTTATTCACGTTTACGTAACGATCTTTCTCTGGCAAGCGCCAATTAAAATCGCTAACGGATCGAACGACGAGTGCAGGTACCCTCATGGTCGCCGAGCCGTCGTCTGATTAAAAGCCGCCCGTTCTACTAGCCGACAAGGCAAATCATTAGAGGCTACGAGTGTTCCGCCTTTTAATCAGCTCTTTTGATTTTCTGAGTCGCGTTACTTTTTCTTATTTAACATCACTATTCTACAGACGTCCTATAACCTAGACTATATCATAACAATGTATTTTTTAAATAAAAAGAAATATATATATATATACATACATTTGTTTTTATTTAAAGAATACATACCTTGTAACAAAGAGATGTCTTGAAAAAAAAGAGATGTCTAATTCTGTTAAATCAACTTGACGCGAAGCTCGACAATTTGATCAACACTTTCCTAGAAAATTAACACAGAAACCGGTTTCCGACGATGAAAATTGTATTTTTTTAGTGGTACGATTCGTTGCAGGATTTCCTATTTTCTTCGCGTTTCATCGGTTAAGCGAGCTGAGTCACAACCTGCAATCTTCTCGCGATAAATGGGAAGTAAACTCGTCCATTGGACAAGTATTACTTTTCCTGTGGATTCACGAGCGTCTTCAAAGATTACAAAGTAACCGCTGATCTCAAAGACTGGAGAACGGGATACGGGAAACGGGAAAGCGTTGCAAAAGAATAATGCTCGTCTGGCTGGTACGATCGTTTTACCAGGGAAAGGTTTTTGATGACGCAGAAAAATCGAGATATTTCCGACGAGGAGGTTTCGACCGCTACGAAATGGAATTTTACCTAAAAATTGTGGAACACTTTTGCGTGCTTTTTTTCATACTCGTAGAATTCTTTAACAGAAAACGAATTCCAATTTGTTTCCACGGTTTTTTGCGACGCACGCCAGTGTATTTCAACCTTTTTTGGTTTCTACACCTACTTTTAAGTATTAGTACAGTATTATTTATCACTGTAGGTTCCCTCTCTTCACGAATGTTGTTAGTTGGTAAAAGTATTAGGGTGAACCGAAAGTTATTTCCGATTTTTCCTGCTTCTGTTTCTGTATTTTTTTTTTCTTTTCAACGAATTGTCGACTAATTCAAAGGGTTCAACTCCCGATGACGTCATATATTATACTCCAGCAATAAGAAATAAACCAAGATAAAACGTTTTCAATACTTGTAAAGACTAGCGATAAACGATATTTCAAGTAGCCATCCTTGGTGAATTGTAGAACGAAAGGAGTGCTTGTTATTACAATTATCGCACCCCTGACTGGTTGAGTCGAGGAAAGGCGCGGAGTTGTTATTTCTTCAATGTTTATCGTATCGAAGTCTATTATAGGTATTATTTCACCGTTATTCACGAAAGGATGGTTTCGTTCAGTGGTCCACGAATGATTGATTAGGCATACATATACATAAGTAATATAATAAAATAACCTGAAAATAGAAAAATGAAATTGTTAATTAAAATATCGAGTTACAACTCCATCGATGATCACGAATGAAACAATCTGATTAACGAAATAATCAGAAATCGACCAACAATTCCAACGATGCGATAAATTGACGAATAATCTGAACTAAAAAATAAATAAACGTAGAAGCAGACCTTAGAAGTGTTGAGCAACGTTGGTCAGTAGTGGTCAGAGGTCAGCTGTGGTCATCCTCGGCCATCCTTAGTCCACCCTTGCCCAGGAGCCCCTCATCTCTCGAAGAATCTGGAAAAGTAAACGATTGCAGAAATGTAATATGCTTTCATACTTCTTATTTGTGAAAAGTGGAAGGGACGTGGAGAGTAGATATAAATTAATGTAAATGTCATATGGAAAAAAACACGTATGTGCAAGATTGGTAATTTGCACCAAACAAGACTGGACCAACAGATGCGATAATCACGAACAACAGAGGCTGTACTCTTATAAAATGAAATAAAGGAAAGAAAAGAAAAGAATAGGTTACGCGGCTCACCCTGTACAATATGATGCAACGTTAAAGGAAAATGAAAATGTAACGCGTTAATTGGCGTTCTTGTTTGTTGATTATCGGCCAATGGAAGATTCGAGTTACCCTTTAACGGCGACGCTTGACATTATACCAATCAGCGGAAGCACCTCGACGCAAGCATCGGTTTCCTGCTTAAATATCAACTGTGTTCCGGTCAGATTGTCGGTTCGCGGGTAAACGCCACGGTTAGGGCTGAATTAATGCTGAACAAAGACACGGATTGCATTTCCACGAACAATGAAGTTAATTCGGTACCGCAAGACCTATAAATTCACGCCAGTACTGCCATGAAATGTTGTATATAGGTCGCACAACGCCAAATCGATTACTTTTGTACTCGATGTCAGGGATTTTGCTCACGTTGAAACGGATTGCGATCCGTGTAAAAGTGAGAAAGATTTGCGTGGTCGTTAGGCTATTTTTGAAATTGTGCAAAGAATACGTAACGTCAACTAGGGTGGGTTGAACTCGAAAATTTTGTGAAACCGACAACGAAAATTCTAATACAAAAGACGGGGCTCTGTATCGTAGAAGATGGAACGTCTGATGTAGCCTGATTTGATTCGTAAGAAATAATTTTTCATTAAAATTACGAAAAACGGGAAAAAAAAAGTTGGTTGCGAGTAAGATTCACTATCATACCGTACGTTTGCAAATATGATTCATTATTTGCTGTACAATTAACTCCGCCGACTCTGTAGGACCTAATAGGACGTAAAGTGTTGCTTCGTTACCACGTCGGAGGCATCTTGACGATACGGTTAATTGGTTTTATTTGAAAGTTGAAGTACCCTTGAAGGTTCTGCGACTCCAAGAAGTGATATTGCGCGCTAAGAAATCGAGTGAAAACTCTGGATACAAGGAAAGAGCGACCGACTTGAAGT